TGCCTCGAGGTAGGGACGAGTTTAGTTTTTTTTTTCGGTACCTCTAAATCGGAATCTTTGCTCATCTTAAACTGATGGGCAAATCCATCGTCCGGTGAATTTTATTGAGTAATTATAGAGGATATGTAATAAATTTGTTTATGAAATAGCAAGAAAACTTAGAGAAACTCATAGCACACGTGGATTTTTCATGGAATCAAGCATCCTGTTCATAAGATTTTTGAGAAATTTTATGAATAAATTTACTGGGGTTTTTTTTAGGTTTTCGAATAGGCGTTATTATTTGATTCCCAATGACTTTCACGTTGAAAATAGTGTCTAGTTAAGGCAGTCGGGCATGGAAAAAAAAGCAAAAAATTGCTAATAGATGAAATTTTGTGTCGCAGGGTATGTATTTTTCGCACAGAACATAAAATTTGATTCAAAAAAAGGACTTATAGAAAATCAGTTGTTTTACAGGATTCACTGATATCAGCAAAAACCCATCTGCCGACAATTGAACGTATTCATGCGGCACTACCAAAAATAACTGCTTCCGGTGAACGCCTGCAAATGATTGTCTGCTCGGCAACGCTTCATAATTTTGATGTGAAAAAACTCGCGGTAAAATTTCATTGGTTTTTTTTGTTTGTTTTTTCAACTGAATTTTTAACTTTCTTTTTAACTGCGAAATAATAAGGTGAGCGAAGTCGCAATTTCGACATGTACCGATGGAATATGTGAGCAAGCAATCCGTGTTTCAACCGTTAGCTGTAAACACAGACAGAGTAATGAGGGCAAGTAGGAGTGGGAATCATCAGTACAGCCTCTCAATCCCTACTAATTTTCGAATTAGCACAATGCCAACTGCGAAATTTGACACGACCGTACTCACGGTATAAGCGTTCGCCATACCTGAATTTAAAATCTTTAGCTCACACACGGAGAGAGAATATTCTTGCAAAGTTTCAGCTTTCTGTCTGTTGGGAACAGGGAAACCGCAGATCAGAACGATTTTTAGGAAAAGAGTCAGGAAATTTCAGCCCCTGATACAGTATTTCAACCATTAGCTATTAAATTTTGATTTTTTTTTTTGTTTTTTGAAGAGAAAGATGCGTGAAAAGCAGGATTAGAGCGGAGGAGGAGGACAGGAGGAGAGAAGGAGATAGGGTCTGTCATAGAAAAAAAAAGATTTCAGCGTTCATTCCTGGCAAATTACAGATTTTTTTTCTTTCATCAATTTTTTTTTAGGATCGTATGATGCATTTT